TCCTGGAAACCTATCAGGAATACCTCAACCTAAAAGATCTGGACAGCGTGGGCGATTCCATAGCATCCACAAACAGATCAGGGAGCGATAGAAGCGTCTTTTGCCTCAAGCAAATCTGCCCAGACGCCACTCTGATGGAGCTGGATCAGCCTCAGGAGCTTCAGACAGCCATAATCGCCCGCAGGATCGCCGAAACGGAAAAGCAAGTGGCCAGTTCGCGAAAAAGCAGCAAAAATTCACTGCGGAGTCAACCGCTCTCCGGCCTAACGTCCAGGTACTTGCCCAGGCCGAAGTTCAGAAGCTGCGAGCTGCAGGTGAAAGTGGAAGCCCCCCAGCGCAGCTGCAGCTGCCAAACCTCTGCAGCTGCCAGGAGCCAGCAGATGCAGGTGCAGCAGGCGGACAAATCGACTGCAACGCCTTCAGGCGGTCAGCAGGAGCAGTCCACTCAAATGTATGAGCACATAACGGAGAACGACCTACTATGCTTGGAGTGGATCAACAAGAATCTGTTCAAGGTGCCAATCAACCCGCACCATTTGATCGTGGACGAAAAGCTGAAGGAGTCCAGCGAGTTCACCTGCTTTGGAACCAACACGTTGGAGCAGGAGCTCAACTGGGAACTGCAGGCTTTGTGCATGTGACTTATTAGTTTTTGCAGTAAAATTTCAACTCTTTAACGGCCTTATTTCGATTGATGCTGGTTGATGGAGGTGACAGCTGGTGGAACTTTGGGCATTAAGCGGATGACACAGTCAATTAATCACCCGCAGCAAACAGTGAATGGAGTTGAAAGATTAGTGGGGAACAAGAAGGTTGAGGAAGCAATAACAGGGACCCGCTGGCGGTTGCCACAACATCTAATTTATCTCACTCCATATAGGAATGATGGGGAAACTTCCAGCAGGAGCCGGTTTATCCAGTTTTTCACCTGCAGGCCATCAATTTCCTTGTGGGGGGGAAACACCAGAAGACCGGCGAAAATGCGTGAAAAACCGTCAACTGTTTAAACACCGAGTGCTCGGAAATCGATTCAACATGAAAACCTTTCAGCCGCGTTACGCAAACAGATTAAATCGGAAATTAAAAATAGGCCGTTGTTTATCGACAAGTCGGGGAGGCGATGATTATATAACAGTCTTCAAGTGTTTGCCTTTAGTTCCGTTTCAGAAAAATCGCCTTAAAACGCGCTGTTTTAGCCGTCAAGACGCACTAAAAATTGAAAATTTTCCCCATAAACTCGACCGCCTTTCGCACGCTAATTGCCAATAATCACCCGGTGAGTAAGTTGTAGTTTACGGCCGCATAAAATGCCATCGGGGAGAGCTTAAAGAGCGCAATTTTGCTCCGAAACTACAGCTTTTTATTTGCGTTTCCTGGGAATTTATGGGGCGTCGTTAACCCATTTCGGTTGGATATAAACAATGCCAGACGTCTTTTTCATATATAGAGTGGCTCAAAATAACTGACACACACACAACCAGTTAAAACTGCAAATGCTTGCGCCAGGGCTTAGCGGCTGTTAAGGGATGAGTCGGTAAATGTTCCCCCCTGTGTGCAGCCCTAACCTAAGAAAAATAACGACTGAAACCTACCCCAACAAAGCAGCAGGCAACGCCGACTTGATCCACCCCAGTTAGTCGGGTAGGGATCACTTTGGACACAATTCGGCGCACTTTCGCGGATTTTTCGGGAAAAAACCACCGAAAAGCCGAAAACCGATTTAACAGCGACAAAATCGTCTATTTGAATGGATCGACAGATGAGCGGGCGCGTGCGACGCCACGAGATCAGGGGGGGCGGCAACGACGCCCGGCGTCGGGTCGAAAACCCGACGCTGATCGACGGCCGGCAGCGCCAGCGTAGGTCTTAGCTTGAATCGTCGCAGGACGTTGATGTTTGGGGGGAAAATTCAACGTTGCCACTTTTAAGTTTCCAGCGTCAGCTTTACAGGGGGATTCAAAAGGGGCGCCACTAAGTTTAAGGGGTTATTGGGGCTCACTTAGAGCTTGAACAAAATACAATTCCTACATTTTTTGGCCACGATTAACTTAGAAACACTGTTGCCTAATTTCCGATCTATTTTTTTGCGAATAACTCAGTTTTGGATGACAATTAAATTTTTTACAATTTCCCCTGTACTTCCTAAACACCCCCAGAGAAATTAGGCCAATTTTGAATCACCCTGTAGATTGCACGCTGTTCCCGGCTGTATTTATCATCAATTTCTTAGTACGTGTGTAATCTCAGCCACACTCAGCCAGTAGTTTGATAGAATTTGGTCCTAAAGTTTCGCTAGCACGCATGCCTTCCATCTTCAGAGGTTCGTTTCACGGTGAGCATGTTTTATTGATCGATCGCAGGCCAAACGAGCCGACAAGTGGACCACCCTTATGGCCCAAAACCCTCTAAAACTACGTTAATTGAACAAGATTTTTCTCTAATTGGGTTGGAGGAATTTAGTTGACAAAATTTTAGTCTCAAGACTTAATAATGAAAATCTGATAAAATAAGTTTGCTGGATGGGTAATTTATCTTGGGCAGAATTACGGCCCTTTTTGCCTTCCTGTTTATCCTGGAAGGCTAATTGTGGCCCATATGAAGCAGATGATTCATTTGCGTGGCCGTCTGCCTGACAAAAAGCTAATGGGATCATCTAGGAGGAAGTCGTTTGCACCATCACTTCGTTTGACTAATGGACGTTTTTCGTTTTATCAGAGCGCAAAATATCARTCTTTGGATTTTCAGCGCGGTTTTACCGATATAAAACCCCCATATTTCGGTYGGTGTTTATGCATAAAGTGGGCTTRAYKACAATTACTCCCACTAATTTCAATTTTTTTGGCAACATTGGAGCTGCAAGGAGTTAAAGCTAGTTACTTTTGAAATTAAGTGAAATATGAAAAAAATCGGAGTCTCGWGTYAATTMTTCCCACTAAATTGACAACTTCCAAAAAAAAAAGTCATTTTTTCCCATGCAGAAATGCAATTATGAAACTCAATCTCGTTTGGGGACAGTTTCAAGCGCAAAATCGACAATTGTTTYCASTAAACTAACTTTTCCAGCACTTTTGTCGGTACTGGCGTTTGTTTAAAAACTTTAAGGCGCAATTGTTCCCACTAAATTRAAGAAAATTGCCGCTGAATTGCAACTGAAAGCCCTTAAACGCATTTTTTGAATGCCTCAAGGGCCAAATCAATAGATATTTGGAAAATCTTGGAGTTCTTTGATTAATTGTTCCCACTAATCGGGCAACTTTTTCCAGAAAACTCTGCATTCTTGAAGCGAAAATGTCATCCCAAGTGGCGAATAGACCGACTATAATAATAATAATTGCTCCAACCAAATTCGACTGATCAGCACTTTTCTTAGCAAAAGTAACAATTTGCCTATTAGTTAAATGAGCCTATAAAGCTGAATATTGACACTGTTTTCTAACTCAGCAAGACAATTGCTTCCAACTTTATTAGTAACATTCAAGCGAACTCATGCGTTATTTGAAAACGATTYGCAGTTTGAAATCTTCAAGCCTCAATTGWGCCCACTAATTTTACAGATTTTTCCAATCAAAAGAGCTCACTTAGAGCCTGCTTTAGCAGCTATTTTAAMCAGTAGTTTGAAATTCTGGGTAGTTTTTAGCCAATTATTCCCACTAAATTGACAATTTTTCTTGTAGAAGTTTTATTAACTTGTACTACAAAAAGAATCTTATTTAAATGCAATTGAAGCTACAAAAGACTATTTTTCCTACTAAACTTAACCTATTAACAAAGAGTTTTAGCCAGTAAGTGACCCTATAGCCTGAGAAACTGAAGAGGTTGAAAGGTAAATGACAATTGTTCCTACTAATTTTTGCTTTTTTTTATCAAAAACCACATCAAAACTACAAAAATKTAAACTAATATTTGGAAAATTGGGTTGCGAAGCCAATTATTCCCAACAAATCGCCCAAATTTTGCGGCAAATTTTTCAAAACTCAATGTTTCCAAAAGATAATTTTGAACGTCAATTTCATTTAGGTACAGTTTCAAGTGGAAAATCGACAATTGTTCCCACTAAACTAACCTTTTGAGCACTTTCATTTGCAAACGTATAAATCATCCTGGTTAAAATCGACTGTTTGCAACAAACTTTTGCGTTAGCTGGAAAATATTGTTGGTTTCAAACAAATTTTAAGGCACAATTGTTCCCACTGAGCTAAACTGAAGGGCCAAATTGTTATTTCGAATCTGAACTCATTAAAGAAAAAATTCCATTTTTAAAGTTAATACTTTGTTAAAGCCTGAGTCAAGAGCCAAAATACCTTGAAACACTCAACGTTTGCAGACAATTACTCCCACTAAACTGACAACATCCCAAGAAATCATCGACTGATAAACTTAAATTAAAACCGGTGAAGAGTTTTTTAGTCTTAAAGAGTCCAGTGGAAATGACAATTATTCCCACCAATTTTACAGTTCCGTCCGATTTTTTGAGGCAAAAGCTTCAATTAAATCCAATTTATTGTGGTCGCTGTTGCCAGATTCACAGTTATTAAGCAGAAAGACGTTTTCAGCAGCAAAAGAAACAATTGTTCCCACCAAACTCAACCCACTAGCCCTTTTCTAGGCCAAAATGCGAACGCATTTGGCTTCTAAGCGACTCTACAGCTTAAATACAGTTGAAAAACTCCGATTTATAACAAGACAATTGTTCCCACTAAATTAACATCTTCTGTAAAATGGCCTGCTGTTGATTGGCAAACAGTGAAGCAAACAGCGGAAATTCAATGAATTCCTGCTGAATTAGCCGGGGAGTATTAAAACAGCCAACAGTCGGAAATCTGCACTATGGTAAGCTATCACTTGCTTCTAATCAGCGAAAAGTTTGCCTAGCAATTAGCAATTAGAGCGTTAACAGCGGCGGCAGGAACAGAAAAATTAATGAACTCGACAAACAGCAGGAATTGTCTTTGCTAATTACAAAAGTTTCCAGGGCGGAAAAAACGCGAGTTTCTACTTACTTCCGTCGCTTCCTCTTCCGGATTTTCCATCGGAATTCCATTCTTCCTCTGAAACAAAAAACACTTGTTCAAAACTGGCCGAAATCGGAAAAAATCGTTCAAAACCATCCAGCCCGTTCCCGTTTATTTTAAGGGCCTTTATAAATAGATCAATGGCAGGAATAGCGTGGAACATTCGGCTGGATTAATTTAATCACCTGAACAAGTTTCGGATTCATCAGCATCCTCAATGTTATTCCTGCAGCAGCGGCTGCATCTTGAGCACATTTCACTCGCGGACACTAAAACGGACACTGAAGAGGCCCCAGAAACGGCAGAAACTTTGGGGGGGACAGAGTGGAATTAGCTTTCAGTCGGTAGTAAATCCGGCTCAGCAGACATTTCAATGATCGCCCAACTAACAATTTTCTATTTCATAAGAGTGAAGACATGGCAGATTAAAACCTGTCCAAATGCGTCCAATTTTCCTGCTGGCTGCTATTTTATCGGAGTTTGCAAGCTGCATGGAAGCAGTATCGAGTAATTATTTTTTTAGATCGAGTAAATAAGTCGCTTAAACTTAGTAAAATAGTTTTGTTTGGATTCTGCAGGTTCCAGTATGGCAAAATTATAAAAACATATTAAAATAAAATTATTCTATACTCAAAAGTTGTCACTGCAGTGGATTGAAGGTATTTTTTTGAATTTCCTGCGGTTGTAAACGACCGATAAAAACATGGAAGCGAACTTGTCGCAATTTGTTGGAAAATATCGCCTGCAGCTGAAGCTGCGAATAATGCATGAAACCGACCTACATGCGGCGCTCAGCGGCAGGAAAATTGTCTTTTGCAAATAAACAGTGAGAATTGACTGAAATTCAATACTTCCAGCCGATGGCTTGCGGAAGAACAGCCGCTCGTCCTAACCTACTGTCCTCGATAATCTGCAGAAGCCCTAAAATCCTGCAGAACACTGCACTGTCCAGTAAATCCTGGCATTATCCTTTATTTATACCCGCAAAGAAGATCGGGCCTGGACAAGGCAGTGAGCTTCTCATCGGCTGGGAAACAGACATTTCTTAATTCTCTCTAGTCCAAGGAAAATCATTCTGATTTTCCCTTAATTAATAAAAGGGCGCCCAATTATTTCAGCTCGACCAAACACCTCTGAAGAGGTCAGTCACTCATGCTTGCAAAACGTCAGCAAATAAATTATTTTTCATCGATAAAAGCCCGAAAAATTAGCCAGTTTTGGTCGGTCTTCGACTAAAAAAAGTCCACAAAACAACCCGTTTTTCTTAAGGGCGCGAATGCGATCACGCCCAGAGCCAAACAAAAGGTCCGCAAAGGGCGGCAGGCACCGCATGACTAGATTTTTGCGCGTATTTGTCCCGCCCTAACATCTTGATTCGACTGCACCCCGTTAGAGGTCGATAGTGGGGCCCTTGGAAAGGGCAGGAAATTCCACGTTTGCCCCAGTCGAATGTGAGCCAATTTCCTGATAATCGGGAGTTTTTAGGGCGCGCCACGTTTTCCCACTGACCTCAAACTGATTAGTCGATTGCGGTCAACTGAGGGCAACACTCTATTTTATCTGGAACCAAATTGTTTTAGCACGCCCTTAACAAGAACCCTAACTGAACTGTGCATAGAACCTGATACAAACTTGCGAGTTTTCTCGGGAAATTTGTCCAAAGTCGCCCTGGTTTGTTTGGATCGATGCTCGAGACTGAGAAATAATTATCGGAGACTGGAGTTTTTATCGCAAATGCTCCTTACGTTGGCAATTTTCACGCTTGAAAGGCGGCCCTCATCATAACAAATCGGTAACGATCCTCCTCCGCTTTGAGGCCTCTTTGTCTCCGCTTCTCCTTTGCTGGCTTTCGCCTCCAATCGCAACAAACGCTCGTTATTTAGTCGGGAAATTGAAAAAAAACACTACCAACTGGTCAGGATTTTCGACGGAAAAAAACTCGGTTTCTGCATGAAACTGCCTTCTATTGCAGATGAAAAGGTCTTCTACTGCTCAATTTTGATAAGGAATCAGTTCCTCTTTTGAAAAATCAAAATTTTGAGACCAAATACGCAAGCGAAAGCTTTTGAAAGTAGATAAGTAGAGGATTCTTCTGGAAATCCAAGAAAACTATTGACATTTCCGATTTCCCAGGCGAAAAACCGTTTGTTAGACAATAAAATCCACAAAATGAGGTTTTCACGAGTTTTTTTGAGTCGGACAGTCTCGCAGGGACAAAGCTGACAAGACTGCTTCAGAAGAAAGGGAAGACAAAGCTGACAAGCTTCATAAAGATGGCCAGTGCAGAGTCATATTGAGCTTCAGTTTTGAGTGGCGATTTTTCCAATTTTTTTTGTCAGAAAGTATCGAAGCGAAGACAAAGTTGACTGCAATCAAATGGTAGAAATTGAAAAAAACACCGATAAAAACTCGTTGAGATTTTGACCTGCGGATTTTCAAATTTTCTGATCAGACAGTCTGGAAACGAGGACAACGTTGTTTCCAATCAAACGGAAAAAATCGAGGAATGCGCCGATTCGAATGCAAATTGATTTGTAAAATAGTGCGAGCCTTGCTTTTGATAATAGTTTCAAGAACAGGCCATTTTTTCAAAATTTCTTATCAAAAAGTCTCGAGCAAAGCCAAAGGCGGTTTAAATCAAAAGGCAAAAATTGAGGAAAACCCCGATTCGAAAACAACTCTTTTGTAAATTTGACGCAGGTTTTACCATGCTAATGTTGACAAAAGCAGGTTCAAAGGATTTTTCCAATTATTTCTGTCAGCTCTTGAAGCTACAACAAAAAATTGAGAAATGCACCGATTCAACTACAAATTTACTTGTAAGCTACTGCAAGCGCTTGTTTTTTATGAGGAAATCAACGGCAGGTCCACATGTAACTTCATTTTCTCAATCACAAAGTCTATCTATGCAAACCGGAGGCATTTGAGCCAATCATTGCTCCTGTAAGCTCGAGGCCGAAACACAGAGCTTCGTAAATAACGGGAATAAGGGCAAGAGAAAATTACGTTTTATTGCCCCTTTGTGTCCCTGGGCGCTCATTTTTTCGGGCGATGTAAAGCCGGAGGGTAAATACTCCGAGATGGAAATGGGAAATATTTTTTATATGCTTTAGTTGCTCTGTTCTGGGCGGTTTTTTCTGCTTGATTTGAGAGTGCTCTTCCCGCTGAGATTAATCTGGAAGAGGCGAGAGTCTGCAAGTTGGAATAGGTTGCTTACCTGATCCGAGTGAGATGCATTGTTTCCAGACAAACATCCTAAATGGAGACACTTTGAGTTCTTGCTACGCTTAAATTATTGTTGGGCACGAATTGAGCAGGTTGTTGCATGATTTAATTAGTTGGCAGCTTAACCTGGAACATCTAGAGCTTTCCAATTGGGAAACCTTCGGCTAATTGAATTAGGATCCTCGTCTTGTTTTATGCGGATTATTTCGGTATCGAAGTTGCCCAAGTTTAGCTATTTAACTTGCTGACAGTGTATCCAGCCTGGAAGGGCTCGAGCTTATTAGCCAAGGGATTGAAGTACAATTCTTTAGCTGCTGGAGCTTTGGGGGAAAATTGAGTTGTTCCTCATTTTTCCCCGATTCGAACTGAATACGAGAGAAAATGGAAACGCCCGAATTTTAATTAAGTGCGCCTTCCATTACCGTTCTAACTGCCTGCATGCAACTACGCGAATAAAGAGGTTCCACCAAAAGAATCTCCATTGAAGCGAAAAATGGAAACTGGTTACTGACTGAAAGCAAGCAGACTGAAATAAATATGAGCTTTAAAGGAAAAGGCTGCGCCCTGACCTAAATTGCAACAGGTTTTCCGTGTTTAAATGTGCCCCAAACGCCGGTTCAAAAGTTCCAGCGAAAAAATCATTGTAGTTGCATAAATGGCCCTCATTCAAAGGCCAAAATGGGAAGACGCTTTCTCCATCTAAAAGATTCCCTAATGGAAATTAATCGAGTCCTTAAAAGCCTTAAGGTATTTTCGTTTAGTTAACTGACTCAATTACCGATATTTCGGCCTTTAGTGCACTGTTCGAACAAGCTGGCAGGAGAACAAATGGGCCGCAACAACAGCACATTCCGCAATCCTTATTACATATTTGAGTTATCGATTTGTCTTGACTGCAAAGCGATTTTGGCTTCTAAAGTCGTACACAGTTGCCACTGACTTTGAACGAGATTTATATTCAATAAAATGGAAAATTTTGTTTTTGTAGGCAAAACGTGTCTAGTTCAATGCACTGATAAGCATTTTTCTGATGTTTCATAATACGCGAAAATATGACACACATTTTATTAAGTTAAACTATAAGTTTATTTTAGATTCAGGCCGCTCTTTTACCTTGTAGGTGTGGGGTTTGAAATATAGTTCCAGAGAGCCATTAGAAGATTTCGAGTAAAATGTGTCAAATTCCATATTTTCGCGTTCAAAACTGATTTTTTCCCCTTCCGTGCAAGTCTATGGAAGTTTGAAACGCGAACATGAACATATTTTCAGGCGAATTTTGGCAGTTCTTGAAAAGACCAAAGAAAAGACTTTGCTTTTTGAAAAAGTCCAATGCGAGCAGAATAATTAAATGTTCAAAGAATTATAGATTTTTCCGTTCTTTTCATAATTTTAAAGAATATTTTGCATCCCAATACATTGTGGTGCAAAAAATCCTGCGGATTACTACCACATTTTCTTGCCGAAATGTCGTGATTTTTGGGTATATAGTTCCAGTTAAGAAATGAAGCACGCGTGGCAAATAAACGTCTGAATATTCTAGCTATGGGTGCTAGCGAAACGTCGGTGCCAAATTCCTTTGCATGAGAGTTTAAGAATTTTTGTGCAAATTTGAAGTTCTTGCAAAAAAATGTGTAGAACGCAGTTTTAGAATTTTCAATTTTCATAATCTAAGAAACACATTTTATTAAGTTGCACTCAACAAGTAACTTGGGCGGTTTTTTTACATTGTAGCCCATTGTTGTGTTAGAAATGTAAATTTCCGAGCGAATTAAAAAAGAGATGTTGCATTGCAGTACAAAGGCTCCACATAAAATTAAAATTTTTCATAATTTCAGAAAGTATGATACACATTTTAATAAGTCGCACTTAACAAGTAATTTGGGCGGTTGTTTTACATTGTAGGCCATTGTTGGGTTACAAATGTAAATTTGCCGAGCGAATTAAAAAAGAGATGTTGCATTGCAGTTCAATGGCTTGACAAAAAATTAAAATTTATCAGAATTTCAGAAAGTATGATACACATTTTACAAAGTCTGGCGTTAAAGTGATTCCAGCATGATTTTTACATTGCAGGCCATTCGTGTGTTGGAAATATTAATCCAGGGAGCACATAGAACGATTGAAAAATTTCCTGCTCAATTCGAAAGGAATTTTCTGCCAAAAATCAGATTTCGATAATCTTTTCCTGAATTTTTGTCAGGGCGTTGGCAATTTCAATACCTACTGGACTGTTTGCACGCAAAGCAAACACATGTCTGAAGATGCCAGCCATTTATACTAACGAAATGTCAGGACCAAATTTGTCAGGAAAGTGAAAAATTTGGCAATTTCAGCAGGCAACAAAAAGAAAAATTGACGTCTTAAGATTCAAATCTGAACTTAACAGTTCAAGGACTTGATAGGAATATCTTCAAGTTTTCAATATTTATAAAATTTCATAATTTAAGAAACTATGATTCACATTTTATTAAATCGCACTTTGACAGTAATTTCGGTCTTCATATTTTTCAGTGCAGACAATTTTCGGGTTAAAAATCTCAATGTTGAAAAACTCCACCCGAAAAGAAATTTTCCTGCGCTCTAAAAGCCTAATTTGAACGGAAAAATCCATATACAAAGCATTTAAATCCTGAGAATTTTTGTTCTTCATAATTCTAGAAGGTATGACACACACTTAATTAAATCTGGGTTAAATGTGATTAGGATTGTAGGAGGTTAGAAGTATTAATCTAGACCACCAAAGGAAAACAGTCCGAGAAACCCTGCGCATTTTCCTGCAAAAATTCGATAATTTTGGGTTTTTTAATTAAGAGTTTGTTTATAATTTGGTCCCGACGTCCCTCATACATCTTCAGAGGTGTGCTAGCTCTGGTTAAAGCAGGAAGCGAACACGTTTCTGAAGATGTAGGTTATGCGTGCTAGCGAAACGTCAGCCCCAATTTCCTTCAGGGAAAACTTGGGCAACTACCACACGTAAAAAATTCCCAACTCCAGTAGCCACTTAGCACTTCACTGAACGCAATTTCGACGAAAATTCAACCGGAATAAATCAAAGCGAGTTCTGCTTCTGTACCTGTTGTTATGGCACTGTTGGGCTGAAGCTGCAGCTTCAGATAGGAAGCTTTAGGCAGGTCTGCGCATGAACTGGGGGCACATGTTTCACCTGAGATATTAACTAGGTTAACAATGTGAGTGGACTGAAGCTGATCTGTGTATACTATTAACTAGTCCGGCCGTAAGCTGCCCAGTGATACGACAAAGTCATTAAGCCCGAATTGAGCCGCTGAGGTGGCAAAGTTCCGCCCGGTTTCATCGCGTTTTATAAGAACAGTTTCCCCATAAAATCAGGCAAATATTTACCTCCATCCCTGCCGATCTTTCGCTTCTTCTTCGACGTTGACGAGGAGCTGGACTTTTGATTGGACGTCGACTTTTCGCACTTGTCCTTGTCCTTGTCTTTGCTCTTCCACCGCGTCAACATTTTCACGAAGTTTTCGGGCCTTTTTTAAACAAGCTTCACCGGCAGGCAGCAGCGAACTGCCATCTGAAACAACAAGCAGAGTTGGGGTGAGTTCGAACGTCAGCAGGAGAATTGTCGGCTTCAGTATAAATTCATGGCCCTTGCGAAGCCCATTAATATTTTACACATTGAATTGCTGATCGATGCAGGAAAGTGGGGCGGATTAGCAGGAAAATGGGCCATGTGGAGACTTAGGCAAACATTCACCGCACTTTGAAGTTGATTTAACAGTTTTTTAAACAAAATGAGAAAATCTCTTAGAGCCTTTGGTTAATTGACTACGTTCCGTTTTCGGCAAACCATCATCAATTTCGTGCCTGGTGAACGAGAGTAAAAAACCTGCAGAGGAACATCAAGGAATCCTCAACAAACATACAAAGGACGAAGGCGTGATTATGAAGACCAATTTTGAAGTTGCCAAAATTCTGCAGAAAAATGAGGATCCTGATCCAGACCAAAGCTAGGGATACTTACTTGGAAAGCGACAAAGTGCGAAACAAAAACACAACGTTGAAGGGGTTTAAGGCGGGTCCGGACGACTACTTTAAGAGCGGAGCACTATTTACGTACGACCGGTTCCGGGCAAAACTACACAGTTTAAGGGCGGAAAAGATCGAGATTAGGGCGATTGGCGGCGTTTTGATAGAAAACATGCGAACGGAAATCGCGTCAGGCCGAGACGGGCGAGCCACAAGCCCACTGGATCCACAGCATCCCGAATGACGTAACTGCAGGGATAATCGATAGCAACGCCGCCAGGCACGGGGGTGGCCGTTTGGGGAACTAGCGGAAGGGTGAACGCCCTAACCTACCGTTATCATTCGCAGGAGTTTTCCAGGAGTGGCCCGGATAATACGAACAAGGTTTATCCCCAAAATTCTGGATAAGAGAGAGGAATGATGGTTGTTTCACAGCATGGAAATTTCGGAGAATTTGCCCGATTTCTCCATGTAATTCTTCAGGAGCTTCGGTCGGTCGACTCATGGGCAGGAGTGAGAGAACCGAGAGTTTGCCAATTTGCAGTGCAACAATAGCCGGACACTGAAGAGGAAAGTCCAATTTCGAGCACCAAAAGCAGCGAAGATCCACTGTCGAGTGGTGCCAAACTGGGGAAATTTGAACAGGATTTTCCGGGGAAACTACTAGGAGTTTCGGGTGGCGTCAAAAGGGTTTTCCTCTTGGAAATAGCGTATTTAACTGGAGGCCGGTGAAGAAATTGTGAGTTTTGGTCTTAAAGCCAGGAATTTCCTTTGTTGAGTGGTTCTAGTCGAGGTTTTCACTGTCTCAAACACTCGCAAATTCACACGCAATTTCCTGGAAAACTAGAGGAAATTTTTGTGCGGGTCTACAAGGCTTTTGTGATGCAAAAAGCTATTTCAACGGAAAC